CAAACTCTGAGCTTCCAGGATTATCTCAGCTACTCATCATGTGAAGAACCACCTCTGGTTTTAATTTTCATCCCACCGTTTGCTAGTTTCATATGATGCCCCTTACTTCTTGTACTGGAAATGACAGTAAATACTTATCCCTCTCCTCACTATCCACATTACTAGTAATATTATAGGCCACTGCCCTATTCTTTCACTCCTACCTCAGCTGTCTCTCTAAAACAAGTCATAATTACTATGGATGGAGCTTTGAGCAATCTGGTCTAGTGAAAGGTGACCCTGCCCATGGCAGGAGGTTGGAACTAGATGTCTGTCTTCAATGTCTCTTCCAACCCAAACCACTCCATGATTCTACTATGCTTATGTAGTTAGGTCCCTAATGCTATTGAGTTGACTAGAATGTAGGAGCCTAAGTACACAGGATTGTTTAGCATAAGTCACAGAATAGATGAGGTTGGAAGACACTTCTGGACATCATCTTGTCCAGCCTGCTTACAGGTTGCTCAGGGACAAATCCAGTTGGGCATTGAATATCTCCAAGGATGGATACACCTCAGCTACTCTGGGCAACATGATCCACTGCTTGACAGCCTGACAGTAAAGAAGCTTTTTTCTTACATTTTAATGGAATTTTCTGCATTTGAATTTGTGTCTATTGCCTTTTGTCTTGTCACTGGGCAACACTGAGAAAAACTTTGTTCTGTCTTCTTTACTTCCATCCATCAGGTATTTATACACATTGATAAGATTTCCCTGAGTCCTGAGAAGTATTTTGATTGGGAGTTCTATGAAAGTAAGAAAAAATTATCCCCAAGAAGCAATGCTTGCTTGTGTTTTGACAGCTTATCTGGTTCTTGATTTAAATAAGAACAGAAAAGTATTCAGATTATTATAGATTTTCCATCAAGAAAACATTGTGAATGGGTGTAATATAAAGTTAGATTTTCATTCACATATAAATGTCACCACAGTAGGATTATTATTAGGGGTCATTTCATTATTTGTTTTCATGAGGTTTTGCAAAGCTCAAAGGTGTTTTTATACATGCAGGATTTGAATGTCTGTGCTAATAATAATAATAATGAAAGTAATAAAATAACTGCAAAAAATTGCAACCCCAAATCTCAGCAAGTAAAATCCAGCCATTAATGTCATATGAAACGCCTATAACCCAGCGAATTATTATTTTTTCTTCCTGTATTCATTTAGTAGAGATTTATTATTCCATAGCAACAAAGTCTTCAGAACTCTTTCATGTCAACAATAGGGGTAACTCTAGAATTAATATAGCATCTGCAGAACCATATTTTTACTACTGCAAAGGATAGTTTGTGTTTATGAAAATAGGGAAATCTTATTTTTAAGGCAAGAATGTTTTCAAGGTAGTGTCTAGAATAATATTATCAGTAATTGGTTGAGTCATTTATTAGTGTTTGCTCCATAATGAACTGTGCTTCCAAACCTAGAGTAAATCCTTGGTAACTTCAATTCTATTTTGAACACCCAAATTAAGCAAATTTATAAAATAAGTAAAAATCATGAAAGCATAAAATATTCAACCCTATCTTTGTGCAGTAACCTAGAGCCTTGGTAACTTCAATTCTATTTTGAATACTCAAATTAAGCAAATTTATAAAACAAGTAAAAATCATGGAAGCATAAAATATTCAACCCTTTGTGCAAGAGACAACATCTACTGTCATTGCTCTCCAGATCCTTGGTATTTGTCTCACTGACATTGATGCATTTCAAGAATAGCAGCAATTTCAGATTCATGTGGTAGCACCTTGGTAACTTCAATTCTATTTTGAATACTCAAATTAAGCAAATTTATAAAACAAGTAAAAATCATGGAAGCATAAAATATTCAACCCTTTGTGCAAGAGACAACATCTACTGTCATTGCTCTCCAGATCCTTGGTATTTGTCTCACTGACATTGATGCATTTCAAGAATAGCAGCAATTTCAGATTCATGTGGTAGCATTCTTAAAGTGAAATATTAGTGACATTTTAATAATCTGACCCCATATAAAAATTGTATGAGCTTCCATAAGTATTGGCATTTTCAGCTTTCTTGGGAGGATAGGGAAGACTTTCTCCTTCTTCCCTGAAATTCCTTTCAGATATTCTGTTATAAATTTGTCTTCAGTTCTGTATGTCGGTGATGTAAGTTTAATAGCTAGATTTCATAGAATCATAGAATTGTAATGATTGGAATGAACCTTACAGATGATCCAGTCTCAACTTCCCCTGTCATGGGCGAGGACACATCTCCCCTCTAAACCATGATGCTCATGGCCTCATCCAGCCTGGCTTTGAACTCCAAAATATCCTTAGATGCCTCCATTCTCATCTGAATGCTTTTTTGACACTTATATTTTTATTTCAGTGCCCTAGTTTATGTCATTAATATTTAGCTTAAAAAGTGGATTTATTTATGCCAGTGAAGTGTTTCAATGTCTTCACATGCAGCAAGTGTTTTACAGAATGTCTTGTATATTTGCAGGGGTGAACTCTTGAAACATTTGAGATGATGTTAAAAGTTTGTGCACCAGTTTCTTATATTTGGAAATGCAAAACAAAATTATCTAAATTCTGTGCCTTTTAACCATTATCTTATAATCCTGTAATCCTGATAGCATTTGAGATTTTGGCAGAAAGACAGACATCGGTGTTTAAAAACTGAAGTAGTTGTCTGATGCAATTTGCAAGTGCACTGGGGTCTCCTAATCTTATTGACTTCATGTCATGTCAGATGCCTTGGCATATTTTAAATCTTGTAAATGTTGTATTTGTCTAATCACCTTTTAAAAATTAATGTGTTAAGAAACTGACAAGTATCTTTTAGAAAAGGTGTGAGAGAACATGGAATTAAACATAAATTTCCTGGATCCCAGGTTATGCATAAATGAAAAGCAATTATTTTCCTCACTTCCATAGAGCTGCTTACAAAAAGTACCGCTATTAAGTTGAAATTGTTGGAACAGTCTTCAAAAAAAAAATCTTTAATTATTTTAATTATGATTTTAGGACAATTCCATTAGTAATTACATACTTCTTTTTTTCAAAAATCTTCCTGGATGTTTATTAATTATGTGATAGAAACATCTCAGTTACAAACCTCTTAAATGTCAAAAATAAGCATTTGATATTCAATTTGGTATTAATTTAACATACAACAACTGACTCTTAAATACAGATTTTGTGTAGCAGCATGGTGAAGAACACAGTATCTGTCTACCTATTTTGGAAGTCAAGCTCAGACACAGACTGTCCTGCCAACAAATGCCAACCTATTCAAGAGACCTAATATTCACTCAGTATCCACTACAACTACATATAACTTCCTCAGGAGCAAGCATGCCATGTGATGTTGAAAAGTCAAACGCTGCTCTAACTTATGTTGACTTTAGCAGGGAAATGCATATAAAGGACTAATAAGTTACTAAGAGCAGAGTTTGGCTATAGGACTTCACATCTGTAAAAGAGCAGTGTCAGATGTTTATTTTAGCTCGGCCAACAGAGTAGGAGGCATTGCTACACATATGCTACACGAGGAAGCATTGCTAATTACCTCTGAATTAGGTAATTAGCAATGAGGTATGAATCTTGTATGAATCATCTCTGTTGTTATTAGTGGCAAATACATTTATCTTTTTTT